TAATTATTATCGCTTAATTATACATTAACATATTATGTTAACGTTAGTTTTATTTTTATAATATTAAGTGGACATTGGTAACATGTAAATTCTTTTGTCCAAACACTGTAGAAAAAGCGGTCAGAATTATCACTTAATTTTTGATTCTTCTGAGCATAGATCGTGATAATATCCTTTACTAAACTATTGGCTAAAGAAGGTTATCTAGAATAGTTTTACTATTGAATTACATAAAATCAAACCGACAATTTTTAGTTTTTTGAAACTAACAATATTTTAATACCTTTTTTTTTTTGGCAACTACTAAACTATTTAAATCTAAAACTATTCTTACGAAACAGAAAAATAAATTTTATTCTGCTTCTAAACCTATCACCAAACTTATCATTATCCTATACTATTATTTGGGGAGTACAATTTACAATTACCCTTAATTAACCTTCCACTTTGTAAGAATTTACTTAAGAATGCCATTAAAAATAAAATTTTATATAGTAAATTAATTCAACTCATTAAGGATAAACAAGTCAAATACTATATTATGAAATTTAATTAATTTAATTTAATTATAAAAATGAAAATCTATTATTAATTTCTTTAAAAAGAATGACCAATCAAAATGAATATATAAGATTTGATATCTCATCTTTATATGATTCTATTTCTATAAATAAATAAATGATTATATCATCTATATAAAAGTAAATTTTTTTCCGCATATACCAAGATTTGAATTTTTAAAAACGAATATAAATTATTAAATGTATGAAAGAACAAATTTAACGGGTCAAACTTTCATATTTGAGTAATATATTCCTTTTTTATAATATCATCAATACTTAATAGATCAAAAATTTATGAAGTATAAAATTGTAATTTGATTTTTTGAAACAAATATTTTGGCGGCGGGTTGAATATAATATATTATATGATGAAATGAGTTATGATCCTTATAACTATTTGAATATTTATATTTAACTTCATATCATTTTTTTTTTAAATTCATAATTTTACATAGTACAATAAAAAATTTTAAAGATTTTAATTTGGAACATTTTAAAAAAGTTTAATTTAATATATTAAAGAATATCATAAATATTTAATAGATTAAAAAGATAAAAAAAACTTATAAATACATTAATTTGATTTTCTAAAAAGATATGTTTAAAATATTTATAGTAGACGGCGGGTTAAATGTAATGTATTATATGGTAGAAAGTAATGATCCTTATAACAGACGGCATTTTAAGATTTTATGATGAGATGAGTTAAATAAGGTTTGACACTTCTAAATATTTGAAAATTTGATTCTGCAAGCAATTTTGAAAATAATAAATAATAGATTGTTCCGCAATATTTTCATGAGAAATTGTTAATAATGCCCCATTTCATATGCCCTTTTTTAATAATGTCCCTTTCAGTTGGTCATTTTAAAAAATGCCCCTCAAAAATATCTAAACTGACTAAAATACCCTTGTTTAATGAGATACATGTTGCAGGCCAAAACCCTAAAATCCCATCTTCTCTTGTCGCCGTCTGCTCCATCGAACCCGTAATCTGTTGAAAATGGCGGAGGAGCCGGCGACACCGTCGTTGATTCCTAATTCGAATCCCACTAGATGTAAAATTCGAACGATTTTCAAGCGTTTCAATCCAGATCTGTTGGGTTCGATTTTTCAAGCGTTTCAATCCAGATCTGTTGGGTTCGATTTTTCAAGCGAGATCTATATCACTCTCCCTCTGTGTTTGTCTCTGTCAATTCCAGGTAACCGATCTCTGTCTTTTAGAAGTTTTTTTCAAGCGAAATATGTATATCATCTCTGATTTATTCCACTTCTGGATGTTACAACGTATTTTAAAGGTTGTACATGCTTTTAAAAAGGTTTTACAATGTATTTAAAAGAGTTTACAAGGTATTGTAAAATTTTTACAAGGTATTTTAAAGGTTTTAAAAGGTTTTACAATGTATTTTAAAAGTTCTAAAAGGTTTTAGAATGTATTTTAAAGGTTATTTTAAATGTTTAAAAAGGTTTTACAAGGTATTTTAAAGGTTTTTAAAAGGTTTTACAATGTATTTTAAAAGTTCTAAAAGGTTTTACAATGTATTTTAAAGGTGATTTTAAATGTTTAAAAAGGTTTTACAAGGTATTTTAAAGGTTTTAAAATGATTTACAAAGTATTTTAAAAGAACAAAAAACAACAATCGTTTTTGAAATCGAAATTGAAACCGTGAAATCAAACTTAAGCCGAAGAATAAGAGATTTTGTGTGATTACAGAAAATTGAGAATCCAGATCTGAGAGATTTCATCATATTGACAGAAGAAAAATATCGAAATACAGAAACATGACAAATCTAGCAACGAAATCGAGTTTTGGATAAATCAAGGGCGTAGATTCTCTCTCAATATTTGGATCTCCTCCTGTGAGAAGATGAAAATAGATCTCGTCGGCGGCGGCAATTTGGGTGATGGGAGCTAGGGTTTTTTATTTAGGTTAAATTCTCATTAAGGGTAAAATGGTCAGTTTCAGGGAAGCTATTAGGGAGGGGGAAAATGCTCATTTTATTCCCCAACTATGTGTAATTAATACAATTATTCCCCAACTATCGTGTGCGCAAATTTAATCCTCAACTTGTCGTTGACTTAACAAATTTGGCCCAAAATTTGGTCAATGTTTACTAGTTAACTCGAAAAACGTTAATTAACTCGATTAAAACCTAATAATCTCATAAAATCTCCAAATTGAAAGCTAATAACTAAGGTTCTTAGTAATCCCTTCGAATTGGAAGCTTATTCCTTTATCTATTCATGATATTCTCATCAAAATATGTGAATTCGATTTCAATCTCTATGTGACTCTCAATCGATCTTGAGAAAAAATCACTTAGGGTTCTTAGCTTTCAATTTGGGGAAATATTTGAGGATTTTTTGAATATATTATGTTTTAATCGAGTTAATTAACGTTTTCGAGTTAACTAGTAAACGTTGACCAAATTTTGGGTCAAAATTGTTAAGTCAACAACAAGTTGAAGATTAAATTTGCGCACACGATAGTTGGGAAATAATTGTGTTAATTGCAAATAGTTGGGGAATAAAATGAGCATTTTCTCATTAGGGAGGGGGTATTTTTGAAAAAGGTCATGAGAAAAGGGGCATTTTTGTGAGTCTCCCTATTTTCATAGGAATTGTAAAATGAAAATATAGACTCCACACACGGATTGAATTTGGTATTATTATATACCAAATATATGTTCATAACATATTTGATTATGTGAATAATTGGTAAATTCCGTAATTAGCTCAAACAAATCTCTATTTCAACAACCAATGAATCAGAATTTGAAAAAATAATTTCCTAAATTAATTCAAAATAATAGCTAATTTTCTTAAGTAATTCAAAATAATCTACGTTTTAGATGCGATTCATTTATGATATTTTGATTTTTGATTAAACTAAATTATATGCACTCTCATTTTGTGGTTGTTAACATAAATTAACTCATTGTTCAAACAATATTAATTTTTTTAAAAATAATCTTATTTTCCGTTTTCATGTCTTAAAAAAAATATCCATAATTGAATACTATAGAAAAGGGAAAATATATTCATTCTAATATTATATATAGGGATTGACAAAAAAATATTATTTTTTCACTTACTATTATAATATGTCACAATTTTATTCTAAAACATAAAATTTATAAATTTTGTAATAATTGAAATTCAACTCGTACTATAGTACGAGTGATGATCTAGTCCTATCTATATAACAATAATATCTTGCCTTGAAGAACAAGTTATCTCTGAAACCAGTTTCAAGATTCTTTCCATGCTCGTGAACCGCGTCGCTTTCGCGATATTCACCATTCAGGGAACAACGTGGCATGGCCTGCGTGAGTTTTCGTGTTCAAGAGCTTGTCCATGACTTTGTGATTCCTCTCATGGAGAATCTTCTTCCAGCGATCTTGAAACGGTTGAATTCGAGTCAGTGGGGTTTAGCGTTTGTGGGTGGTTTCTGTGCGGCGGTTCACTTGTTGGAGATGACACGTGTTGCTTTGGTGGAGAATCTTGCCAATGAGATGTTAAAATCGGTGAACAGAGGAATGGAATTAGGGTTTCTTTTGAAAGCTCTTACGGATCTTGAAATCGCTGTAGTGGAACAGTTATGGTGGTATTGTACTACTGAGTTTAGATTTGTTTTGGGTTTGATTCGGAGAATTGTTGACATTCTCACATTCTCTCTATTTCTCACACTCATTTACGGTTTCATTGTCTTTAGAGAGAAAGAACAAAAACCATTACTCTTTAATTGTCTACATTGTATTAATGGATCACAAGGATTGTTTTCTTACATCACACATACAAGCATACTTATACTATTTTACTTCTACTTCTACTTACTACATACACATACACACACTTGCACTTGGACCTTACTCCTAGTTCTAGACTCTCTTACACAAGCAAGGTTAAACTACTAAACCTTACACAACAACAACTCTTAACCACTACACTTGACAACTCTACTAAGCTAGTCTTTAACTAACACAACACACTTACTCATTTGGGCCTAACAAAACATTTAGCCCAATCACTTATTCTTATTACAAGACAACAAGCCCAACTTCATTCTTGTGTTGACTTGTGTCTTCCTCCTCTTTGTCGTTGACTCTCTTCACGACATCTTCTTCTTCTTCTTCTTACTTCGCCATCATCTTCTCTTGGCTTCTTCTTTTCTCTTTTGCAGGTTCAATCAAGGATACAATTCCAACAAGAATTGATGCGATTATCACTGACGAGACAGCGAAGAATGTGTTGGAGAGGATTAATAAGGTTGTGAAGAAGAAGATGCTTGCATATGTTGAAGAGATTGATATTGGTGACGAAGATTGGCTTCTTGCCCAAGTAAACATATTTTCTATCTAATCCGATTTACTTCCCGCCGCCTAATCTTACATATCTCGATTATTTTTATATTGCAAGTATAAAACAACTTTTTTTTGTTAGTTAAACATTTGAATTGGGAAGTTTTAATTATTATCACTTCAGGGGAACAATATCATTTATCACAAAAAACTCGAAATCCTCTCAGGCGTCATTCCCGAAGCTTCTACGATTGTGCCGTTCTCCGACGCCGGTAGAGCTATGGCTCGCCGGCGTCGGACTTTCTCTTCAAGCTTTAGTTCAGCCTCTTTACTCTCTGCTTTTTCAGCTTATTTTCAAGATCGTGTCTCCCGTTTTGATCCAAAGATCTCCCAGATCCGGAGGTTTGGGCTTGCCGGATTTGTTTTCGTCATCTCTTTACCTCCCTCTGAGCCTGATGTCTTCCCGGTTATTCCCCGAATTGCCTTTAGTGAGCTCTGCATCCTCCCAGTTCTCAGCTGTTTAACCCGCAACCACCGGCCGTTTTGTGGCCCATCCTCCACCTTCGTCAAAGCTTCTCCTCCGCCCACCCCTGTGACAAAAGCTGAACTCATATCCATTAAAGTCACTATGTTGGGTCGGCCTCGCGAAATCAACCTCCAGAATCTTAAAAGGGACATGGCTAGATCTCCCTATGAGCCTTCAAACACTACCCCCGAGCATGCGATTACTTCATTGCCGATCTGGAGAACCTCTCCGCCGCCTTGTCCGATGAGAAGAAGGGTGGAAAACGGTGAAACCCTAATTGCATCGATGGTCTCTTCACTTGTGTTGGGCCCATCAAATGTTGGCCCGTTTGTTTTCCAGCTTAGGCCCATTATGATAGCTTTCGGCCCATCCCTTCTCCCAACTTGGCCCAGGTCCATTACTTCAATACTTTTGTTAAGCCAAAATATCAAAAGGTGTGTTCCAAACAATTTTCTTCAAAAGCCCAGGTTTGGCCCGAACTCTTTTTTGTCTTTGCTTAGACAATATTTGCGTCGATTCATGAAATCAATTGATCGAAGACATCAATTGAATCTTAATCCACCATTGTTGCTATGTTGGTACAAGAACTATTTGAGAACCCTGCCATTAGAATCACCTAGGATTATTATCCACATAGTTAAAAGCTTGAAGAAGAACGGCATTATGATCCCGTCTCTAAGGAGCGGTGGTTACCGAAACTTCTTCAACTTTTCATCTCTGTCTCATTTGCTGACCGATTCCATACAAGAGCTAATTCGTAACATCATGGTTATTACTCTTGAAAGTATAAGTTTGAAGAAGATTGGCATTATGATCTCGTCTCCAAGGAGCGGTGATTACCAAAGCTTCTTCATACCTTTATATCCGTTTCTCCTGAATTTTGAGCTCATGCCCATGCCCATACCCATACCCGAAGAAACCTTTATCTTCCAGGATATTCTACCATTGGTCCCAATGTCCTCATTGCGTTTCATGCCGGCGAACCATGAGGCAAAGGATACTTTCTCAACGTCACAAGAACAAGATCTCTCGATCGTGACTATTTCAAAATTCCCCGACTTGTTCGCGGAAGTGTCTATGACACACCATGAGATCGCATGTGGCTTGTTGCTTGATTGCTTCTGTCTCCAATTCTCTATGGCTTATCAAACCTATCTATCTATCTATGTTGTTAGCTTCTGTTCTTTGCAGATTATTGTACTTTTATCCATGCTTGAAGATCTTGTAAACTTTGCCCCTATGGGATTGATTGAATGAAATACAAGTCTTGTTTGTCAAAAAAAAAAAAAAATGTTCAAATTTTAATAAAATCATATTTTTTTAATAAAAAAATTTCTTAAAAATTTATTTTTATGTGTTTATTGTAATTTTGAAAATAATTTTGGATTAATATGTTTTAAAAATAAGTAAATAACTCTAAAACTAGTCCCCGATTAATTTCCGATTTTAATCCGATTTTCCGATTTATCGCTAGGCCTATATTGAGCGCTCGAGTAGCGCCTAACAATTTTTCAAACAAGAAATATATCTAGATTATGGCGGTGATTGGGAGAGGCTTTAAGGGCTGTGTTTTTTTTAAAAAAAAGTCATTAAAGCCATCAATCACAATTTTAAGACTTTAGATTTTTTTAAGGCTTTAAAAGTCTAACTGCCCAATTTGTTTTTCTTTACGTTCAATTTTCTAAAGCCATAAATATGAGGCTTTCAAACAAATAATATAGCTTTTAAATAAATAATAATTAAAAACTTTCTTTTTTCTTGTCCCCATAATAATTAGAATCTCTCTAAATGATTACATATATTTTTTCACAAATATTTTTTGATAAATTAATTATTAGTATCATTTTTCAATCTTTCTTTTAAGATCCATTTCAATAATAATTATTTTATTTTCACAATCACCATTAATATTGGTATAAAAGAGTTTATAGAATAGTATTTTTAATAAAACATACACTTTCATATAGGCCATTCAATTATTTCATAAATTGCTTCATCATTAACAGTTTTATTGATTTTTTATTACTCAAAATTATACAACTACATAACAAAAAAGAAACATTCAAAACACTATTATTAGCCATAACAATTGCTCAAGAATCATTCAAGATAAGTATTTTAACTATTTCTACCTTTTAATTTATTTTTCAAATGTTTATTTGGTTTGTTAGCGAAATTTATGTTGACTAGTTTACCAAAATAGTTATCGTAAAACATATTTTAAATATTTAAAGATCAAATTTGTTTATAATTAATCAAAATAATTTCAAAACAAATAGTTACATACTATTTTAGAAAGAAAACATTATTCATAAAATTAACGATCGATTTGGAGCTAATTTGGAGTGGAAACATCTAAAAAACCGTTTAGATTATTTGAAGATGCTGTAAAATATATATTATAAGGATCCTCAAGCTCCACACCTTCACCCAAGTTTTTATAAACTTATCCCACTTCTTACTAGTGTGTTTGGATATTAAATTTCGTCATGAAATAATAAATATAAATAAATGTGTTCATTTAGAATATTTATTTATTATTTTATTTCTAAACCTTTGTCATTTATTTTAAATAAATATTTTATTATTAATAATTTGATTTTTAGTTTATCCATTTTTTTAATGCAATTTTTGGTTATTAAAATTGAATGAATAATACATATTTCGTTTCTTTATTGAGAATATTTTTCTATTCATTTATTTCTGAATTTTTGTATTTTTCTAAATTTTTATAATTAATAATATTATATTGTCAGATGAATTTATTCATAACATTATTTATATTTATTTTGAATATATATAATTAAAAAAAATAACAGTCACAACTTCTACCGCCTTGTTCTACCAATCAGATTTTAATAGCCAAAGTTTTTGCAGCCAAAGTCTTTACAGCTAAAACTAACAGCCCTTACCAATAAGTCCCTACATGTATTGTAACAGACGACAAAAAAAAATTAAATAAAGAAAGATAAGGGTTTTTTTTTTCTTTTTTTTTGGTGGTAGTAGATATTTTTAATTGAACGATTTAAAAAAAAATCAGTTGCCAATTAAAAGTTTCTAGAATTTATGATTTACATTGAAGAACTTTGAAAGATTGTTTACTAATATTATCAAAATAAAAAAAAAAAAGAATCGTTTACTAATAAACAATTGAATAAAGAAGGTTATCTATAGTATGGACTACACAAAATCAAACTGACAAACTCATCATCATTATCCCATCTATATAACATTTCAAAAAGATATTAACAAACCTAATTTTACAATGCGTAAATCTATAGTTATATTTTTTTTTTCTTCAACCTTTTTAGTCTCTATATATCTATCTCCCCGGGACTTTCTGTTACCTTCCCATGGATAAGCGAAAGATGCCGACGAAGCAACCAACCTCCGAAGAGTTCAACAAAGCCGCCTTCAAGCTTCTTGCGAATCCCCACATCGAACCGACGGTGGAGTTCATCGCCGCCCTCATAAATCCACGGAAATATCAAGAAGATAGAAAGTTCTTCCGTTTTTGCGTCGCCAATTACCCGGGATGCTTCTCCGTCAAGCTCATGTGTGTCTTCGCCTCGAAAGAGCCACGTGTCTCTTACGAGATCAGAGAGAGTGCAATGAGGTTTCTCCACGGTATCTTCATCAAAGAAGAAGCTTCTATGGATTTTGAAGTGGTTCAGGTATTCTCGACTTTACTCATATCTTGCCTTGAAGAACAAGTTATCTCGGAAACCAGTTTCAAGACTCTTTGCTTGCTCGTGAAGCGTGTTGCTTTCGAGATATTCACCATTCAAGAAAGAACTTGGCATGGCTTGCTTAAGTTTATCTCGTCTAGAGCGGAACAAGAGTTTGCGAAAGCGGTTTCCGTGTTCAAGAGCTTGTCGATGCCCTTGGATGAAGAGGAGTTTCTGATTCCTCTAATGGAGAATCTTCTTCCAGCGATCTTGAAACGTTTAGGTGACAAAGAGGAAGAGAGTTCGAGCCAGTGGGGTTTGGCGTTTGTGGGTGGTTTCTGTGCGGCGGTTCACTTGTTGGAGACGAGACGTGTTGCTTTAGTGGAGAATCTTGCTAATGAGATGTTGAAATCGGTGAACAGAGGAATGGAATTAGGGTTTCTTTTGAAAGCTCTTACGGATCTTGAAATCGCTATAGTGGAGCAGTTATGGTGGTATTGTACTACAGAGTTTAAATTCGTCTTGGGTTTGATTCAGAGGATTGATGCGATTATCACTGAGAAGACAGCGAAGAATGTGTTGCAGAGGATTAAGATGGTTGTGAAGAAGAAGATGCTTGAATATGTTGGAGAGATTGATAATGGTGATGAAGATTGGCTTAATCAGCGCCTTTGAGTTTGGTTGCTTCCTGCCCAAGTAAACAAATTCTTAGGGGAATGTTTTGGTTTTGGTTTTGGTTTTGGTTTTGGTTTTGGTTTTGGTTTGTGTAGTGTTTAGGTGTTTATATTTTGGTTTTACGTACGAGTGGATTGAATGAAATAGAGTTTTAGGACTAATATTTTTTTGCATCTTTGGTCATGATCTACTAATCTTGTGCAAATTTTGAGAGTTTGATTTCTTACGTTGAGACTTGATGAAACAATAAAAGGACTAACAAGAGTCATAGAGATATACACAGGAAAACTAATGCAAAAAGGAAAAGACTCGAAACTAGAAAAAGCAAAAAAAAACAAAAAAAAACATCAAACCAAATTCTCGAAAGCTAATGCAAAAAGAACTTTCCAAATTCTGATGCAGCAACATTACCAGTTTTGTTATAGTTGTCGTATATTGTAGTGGAAAGTTTATAACTAAAAGCACGAGTTCCAGCTCTGCATATTTACCCACCAAGAGCGAGACTTCTTTTTCTAATTCACACATTTGATCCGAATATAAACCATGTGGATACAAACATTTCCGTTGTGAAATTACCTCTATGCATAAGATGGTTTTGCTCATTCTCATTTAGGGTTCTAAAATTCCGGGCAACACTATGATAGATTGACATTGATTTCTCAAATTTATCTCCAATATAAATACATATATTTTTTGTTTTATTTTTGCTTTTTTAGGAAATGAAATATATTTAGACAATAAATCGAGACACATGTAAATGATTAATGAGATTAACAATATGTATCATGGTTTAATTTAATTTATAGTTTAATTCAATTTTCTTAATCAGTTACGAATTAATACGTGAGGCTGTTATATGTTTTTTTTTTTTTTTGGCAGTTTTACTTAATTTTAACTTTTTTGATTAAGAAGATTTTTGATATATATTATATTAATTAATATACGCATAAGAAATTTTAGTGATCATCAACTTGAAAATCATTTTCTTGCCTTAGGAAATAATGCAGTGTTTGGTGGAATATATATATATATATATATATATATATATATATCACTGGATACGAAACACTGAAGAATAGTAAGATTAATCAATTTAAGTTCAATAATCACTGATGGGAAAAGTTTAGGTATACAAAATGTTTTGTGCAAATCCAATACAATTGGGCACATGAACTTTTACTATTAGTTTCGTCAAAAAAAAAGTATATCATTTTTACGCCAAAAACTATTAAGACGAAAATAAGTGATGAATAGGAGCATCCTAATATAAGGTTACAATGTATGAAAATTTGTTACTAAAATAAATAAATTTGTGTTTGATATTAAGATGCTTTTGGTGTTTCAAAAATAAGAGCATGAAGTTGAACTGTTTGAGTCCAAATCCTTTATAGCAGTACTAAGTATATTGAATAGTGTTTGGTGATGATCTACTCGATCTTTATCCGTCTCCTCTAGGCCAGAGGCAACATTTCAATCACTTTAGCGAAAACACGTTGCAAACATTGTGCTTCAGTTGGAAAGGAATCTGATCAAAGCTTCTATGGCAAAGGGTCGGAACTGTTCCATGTAAATATGAGTACATAAGATATTGGAGATGAAGCATTTCATAATTTGTATGCTAGGGACCAGAGACTCTAGAGATAATTTGACCAAAATCATCAAGGCTGACTCCAAATACCTCTTTTCCATTGAATAAGACAATCGGTAAAATAAGGGCCAAAAATCCGGCCATTCTGGCAGGTAAACCGAAGGAACAAGAGACACCACCAAGCAAAGTTTCTCGTGGATGTCTTCTTCCTCGTTTAATCGGTTTAGCAATTATGTTGTGACATATGATTTCGTGCTTGGGGACAGACGCAACAAGAAATTGTCGGTAAACAACTTCCGGAGGAGCACGACAGCCATGTCGCGCATCTTCTCATCAGGTGATTCTATTCATCGGAGGTCCTTCGCCGAGAGTGCCTTCAATCTTGCGAAACAAAGGCACTCTTGCAGTAAAACCTTTATAAATTAATATTATCGGAATTGAAAAATTCTATTAATTTATAGAGGTATTAATTTATCGAGAAATTAATAACTATTAATTTATAGAGAGATTTTACTAATTTTGTAATTTCTTAAAAATTCAATCTGAAAAATAATTTTTCTTTATAATCAATATCTTACTAAAACCAATTACAAGTAGAAAAAAAATTATTCAGTTTAGAAAACAACACAAACTTTTTTCGATGTAGTAAAAATATTAGAAATGAACTCTACCAAGAATTAATACAAATTAAAGGAAAATAGACGATACTAGAGTCATATTTTACTGAATGTTTATATATTACCATATAAGAGATTGAGAGAAAAGATCACCTAAAGGAGTTTGAGAATGAGATTAACGTCTTGGGAATAATCCGGCATTCGAATCTCCTTGCACTTAAAGCTTATTACTTAGGCCCTAAAGGAGAGAAGCTTGTCGTCTTCGATTACATGTCTAGAGGAAGTCTTGCCACATTCCTTCATGGTAAGTTTGATACTAAAGCCTCAAAGTTTGATACTTTTGCTAAAACAAGTAATATTTTGTAACTCTGTTTTCATATTTGAAATTGCAGCAAGAGGACCAGATGTTCATATCAATTGGCCTACAAGGATGAGCTTAATAAAGGGAATGGCTCGTGGCTTGTTCTACCTTCACACACACGCAAATATCATCCACGGAAACTTAACATCAAGCAATGTACTTTTGGATGAGAACATCAACGCGAAGATCTCAGATTACCGTCTTTCAAGGCTAATGACAGCAGCAGCAGGATCAAGCGTGATTGCAACAGCTGGTGCGTTAGGTTACACAGCACCTGAGCTCTCTAAGCTGAAGAAAGCCAATACGAAAACCGATGTGTACAGCCTCGGTGTGATCATATTGGAGCTTTTGACTGGTAAATCTCCGAGTGAGGCCTTAAACGGTGTGGATTTGCCTCAATGGGTTGCTACTGCAGTTAAAGAAGAGTGGACTAATGAGGTTTTCGATTTGGAGCTGTTGAATGATGTGAACACAATGGTTGATGAGATTTTGAATACACTGAAACTGGCGTTGCATTGTGTTGATCCTACACCATCAACAAGACCTGAAGCTCAACAAGTGATGACACAACTTGGAGAGATTAGACCTAAAGAGACAGCAACAACGTCTGAACCATTGATTGATGTTCCTGAAGCTTCTGCTTCCACAAGTCAATAGAAAGAGTGGAGAGTTTTGGTAGTGTGGAAATGTTGCAGAGTAGTAGTAGATTTTTTGCAATTCTTTAATTCTTCCAAGTAGTTTTTTTTGTTCTTTGTTTGTTTCAGTGTTTTGAATCATTTCATCATCAGTTTATGTTTGTATATAGTGTAAACTGGTTATGTTTCCTTCATCAAGTAGTCTCTGTCTTTTGAGCATTATTGAAAAAACTTGGGTTTTGAAGAAGGTACTACAGGAAATGATCAACAGTAAAATTTTAGGTAAGTTTCAAATCACCATATACTGAAAAAGAGAGAACATTGAGAAGATTGGAAGATCTAACCAATTTAAATATGTACCTTTACTTACGTAAGTATGAAAATGCTCACACATTTGGTTTGGTATTATATATTGATATATGTAATGAAATACGAAACAGAAATAAATTTCTAATAAGTTTGAAATAAAGACCAACATAATAAGCCGCAAATGTTAACTTATTAATATAGTAAGGAACTCTACTATTATTATAGGAAAATTTGTTTTAAAGCGAGAAATGCTAAGAGATTGTTGTATCAAGCAAAAGAGACTTGTAGTAAATGTCCATGGCACGCAACTCCCGCAAGCCCCTCCAGAACAGCTGGTAAGCACATTCTTACACCTTAGTACATGTCTACAGTTGAAGAACTCTGGACCAAACTCAATCAATGTCCTCATTTCGAGATAACATAACGAATAGTAAAAAAAAAATTGTTTTCGTCATTAACTTACCTCCACACATATATAAAATATCATAAGAGTCGATATTTGTTCATTTTTCAGATCTCAACTTCATGCTGGTGTTAATTATATCGGATGCTAAATAGTCTAAATTAGTATACAAGTACACTAAAATACATTTCAAAACTACTAAGACCCAAAAAAAAAAATCATGGATTAACTTCTAATTATATTTTACTAATTTTAGTAAAAAAAAAAAAAAAGATACGAGAAATTTGAAATAAGTTTTAGAATAAAGACTAAAACAATAAGTTTCAAAGCATGCGGAATAGTACAAAAAGACTACAGAAGTCCATCAGCTTGAGAGAGTTTTTATACTCTTTTTTTGTTTGATCAAAAAAAAAGTTTTTATACTCTTATCTCTTAAAAGATTGCATAAAAAAGTCTTCTGTTTACTTTCCAACACAGTCAGTGGCTGCTGCTGCAACTGTATCAACCAATTTGATCCTCTTCGCTGGTGGTTCAACTTCAGACACAGTCTGAGTTCCTTCTTCTTCTTCAGACTCACCGTTGTTTCCTCCAGAAGACTCTGCAGTGTCTTTGCTTGATTCAGCCTCTTCCTCTTTCTTCTTCAGATTTTCGATAACTTCCATCATTTCTCTATTCACCTATTTTATTAAGCATTGATTCATGTTAGCCAAAGTTATTACAACAAAATTGGTAAAAACTAGAAGAGTGGTTTTTGTTTTTTACCTGCGGGTTTTGAAGAAAGTCGGAGAGGTCGGTAGTGCAGCACGGACAGGTCATTATGTTCTTCTTTGCACGTAGTGTGCGCCCGCCTCTGCTTCTCTCTCTCACTTGAGAGACCCCAGCAAATTTAGCTTCCAGGCATGCTTTGCAGAAGTTGTGAGCACAAGGCGTCGTCACTGGAAAACTCAGCACTTTCCGACAGATTTGGCAACCGAATTCTGTGTCAAATATAACCCAAATCACAGTTATGTATTGTGCTAGATACAATAATAACACAAGTGGTAATCGATGTTTACCTTTGAGAAGTCTGTTATTTCCGTTTTTTGCTTTCCTAATGATCTTCCTCTCCTCAGGATCCAAAGCAGCAACAGCCTTTCTGCTAACAGGTGGAGACTTCATCCATTTCCAACGACCCTCAGCTTCCTAATCAAGGAAAATGTATCCGCAGGCACAGGGAAAAAGGTCACAAATCATGAACCAGCCGAAGAATGCTCAAACAAAAGAAAGGCTGTACTAACATCGAAATCCCATGACGGACTCTCCTTTCTCACAAACAGGTCAGTAGCTTTCTTAAGCTCTGGAATATTAGGCAAAGGTCTTGGACGATCGCCATGCTCATCACTGCAGTATATAATTCAAAGTCTCATGAGCCATCAAATAGCAAATACAGAAATAAGGCACCTTTCCGGAAAAAAAAAGAAGAAGATCAAACCTGGTCCATGGAGCTGGCTCATTGTCACATCTAACAAATAGGTAACGACAGACCTTATAAGAACCCTACAGAAAACAGAAGAGTGTACTTCAGGAAGAAAACAATCCAGCTCTGCATAGAAAGAACAATATAGGAATGTTAGCTATATATTCAACCTGTATTCCAACGTTGCTCCAGCACTTCTCGATTCGGTAGACCCCATCGTATCTCACTCCTTCCTTAGGGGCATATGCAGAACGCTTCTCCTTGTGAGACCTGAAGAGTCATGATAACTTTCTGCTCAGAGTATATCGATGAATAAAGATAATCTATTCTTATTCAATAAAGAAAGCATCCCATTCACATAAAGTTGAGAGTCTGCAGAAAAGCTAACCTGACAACTCGGACAGGATAGCCCATTTTGCAACTAAGTCTTAGAGCTTCATTCATTTTTGCAAACGACTGGTCAGAAGACTGTATCTTGTTAGTTCTTTTGTTTCCTCCGAGATCCCTTCCACCACTGCAACACACATTCACACATTACTTCTATAAGAGACACAAGCCACAAATATAGAGGCATCAAAGTGTTATAGGAGTAATGTAAAAATCGAACCTTCCTGTGTAGAGAAACCATTCACCATGATCCTCATCATCATCATAACCTCCAGAGAGCGCCACAGACTGAGCTCCAACCGCTGATTGCCCGGCAATGCCAGCAATATGCGGGAAATGAGCTCCCCACTGCCTACAATCTTGCCTGTCCTCCCAAGATTCTCCAACCAAAACACCTTGGTTTCTAGTGGGATCATTTTCAGCTGGTATGGGACCAAAATGATCACCAGGTATTGTAACATAAATCCTTCCGCTAGCAGCATTAGCTTTCCCAGTCTTTTTAGCCCGCTCGGTAGTAAAGGCTTTCTCAGGACGGTCTTGGTTGCGGATAATATGATGAACCTTGGCCGCAGCTGCCTCAACAGAACATTTGGTAACACTTGCTAAACGAATAGCAGAGACTAGAGCTAAGTTGATGCGAGGATTTCGCGCAACATTTTTGGGAATTTTGGTTCGGCATGTCATACAAGTTAGCTTCCCTTGACCTACCCATTTCTCGAAACATCTCAAGCAGAAGTTGTGCCCACACGGTGTCTACAAACAAAAATACAATACATCCATTAGTGTGCTACTTAAATACACTAAATAGCATTGTCCAGAACACAAATAAACTAACAATTCTTCTACTGTTCAACAAGGCATTAACACAATCACAAGCATCAGACTGGTTGCAAATACGCATTAGTGTGGTACTTCAAATATTAATCATCCTTATCAACAACAAACACATAAATTAGCGATTCTACTAGTGTTATGTGTACTAATCACAAGTCATTAACACAAACCACAAGCATAAATTAGCAATTCTACTACTGTTATTAACACTAATCACAAGATTTAACAAGTCATTAACACAAATCACAAGCACATAATCTATTGATTTGAAGAATCAATGGAAACGAACGAACCGTGATAGGTCTTTCTGGCAATTGAATGCAAATAGAACAAAAGATTTCTAACTTCTTCTTGTCTTCTTCAACGAGACGATCGTCACCACCACCACTCATGAGCTTCTGCCTCCTTTTGGCTTTCTCAGCTTCCGTCAAAGTCAGATCAGCCTGAATCGCACGGATCGCTGCTACGAGAACTGAACCGGATGATTCAAATCCGACGTTTCCGGTAACTGGAACGGCGGAGGAAACGACATCGCCGGAGCAATCGGGACACTGCCACTCTCCAGTGGAAGAAGAGAGTGATTCAGGAAGGAGACAGGACACGTGCCAGGGAGTGACGCACGTGCCACACGTGAGAGTCTCTTCTGACGGAGGTTTTACCTGGCACCGCATACATACGCCGTCTCCGTCGCAAGGAAACTGAACTTCAGGCGCCATTGTTGAAACGAGTGAGAGAGAGATTAGAGAGAAAATGGTGTTTTCGAGATTTGTGAGAGAAGAGGAAGGCGAAAAGTGAAGAGGCGGGTTTTGAAAGTTTTGGGAAAACGAAGTCTTTAAAGAATTTCAAAATGAATTACAAAAAATCTAAAAAAGAAAAAAATCTCACAAAGCGATAAGAATTGGGGATTGTGACAGAATGGCAACTATTATATTTAATTTTCCTTAAAAGTTGCTTTTTGGGTCAACATTTTTTATTTACCATCTTTGTCATATTTATTAATTTATATGTAAATGATAAAGACGTGATTTAAGAAAAAACAAAAACAAAGATAAATTATTAGACTTGAGGTGGTGATTTTGTGAAAAATAATTGTATATAAATTTTCTATTATATTTGCAATTGTTTTGTTGAAATTTATTAATGTATTATACGTTTTAAAAATGAAATATATTTTGCCACTTAAACTTCAATAATTTATATGAAATAGTTAATAGAACGTCTTCAAATTATATTTAAAAATTAATTGATTTTATGGTGATATTAAAAATAGAAAATTATTATATCATACTATGTGTTAGTCAATCGTCAGTTTATCTGAAACTCTAGTTATAGATTCGCTATATATACAGAAAAAATGTTTATACTTAAAAGACATTAACATTTAGATGTTTATGGCAGAGATCAATTTATGTTATCAAATGCTACTCAATTATATTGTAGCTCGTGGATTTCAAATCCAAAAACTACATATTAAGATAAATCAATTAAAACAATAACATATTTATCATTACATAACATATATCCATAACTAGTACTATAAATTTATATTAAGTAAAATAACCATTGACCAACACGTGTGATATAATTATTGCCATAAAACTAATTACTTCTTTTTAATATGATTTGACGGCGTCTTAGTAACTATTTCAAATAATTATTGAAGTTCAAAAAAAGTCAAAATACATATTATTTTAAAATATTTACATTTGTTAATTAAAGAAACCAATTTTAATGTATAGTTGTTATAAAAGAAAAAAACCAACTACTAATATAATTCAAATTTGAGAAACTCTTATTTTCCACTAAACCACCACCACTAGTACTATCAATATACAAAGTACTTTAATATGATCACTCTTTAATATGTATGGTATAGACTTATATGTATGGCGGAAAAAAAAATGTATGGTATAGACTTATAGTTATTACAATTTTTGATCTTGCTACAAAATTACTATTGTTTTGAATATGATTTGACGGAGTATTGTTTTAATTAATTTTCTAAATGTGTTATTTTAGATTCAAAATCCATATGTCACATTATAATTAACAAGCATTTGATAAAGTAAATTTATCTCCAACATAAACATCTAAAAATTGATGTAACTTAAGTATAAATGTTCAACAATATGTAACATTGAACAAAAAAAACAAAATATGTAACATTGATGCAGGAACTAAGAGTGTTTAGAGCACCCTCAATGGTTGGATCCAAAAATTAGGATCCAAACAAGATTTATAATTTTAATAATGGAAAATAAAAAATTTAGACACTTTTGAGTGTTTTCTTTTATCTTGAGACAGTTTAATGGTGGAATCCAAAAAGTGAAGATCTAAAAATTTCAAATTTTCAAAAAATGTGTATAAGTTGGTTGTGTTACAAACTATACAATGTCTGAATCTTACTTGTTAATAAATGTGTGAGCATTGAACCACAGAAAGAGGCCTCCAAGAGAGTATCGAAATGTGACAAAAAAGACTCAACAAATGATACTCAACCAGCTGGAATAGAACCCAAATGGCAGTCGCAACACCAAGAACATCAGCTGACAGTTTTTTATTCATCCAAAAGAACACATCAGCAGCTGCAAAGAATCATTGAGAAAAGAGACATAAGGCCAACGACATGTGAGAAAGAAAAAAAAAGAAGAGATTAGAATTCCACAGAACTCAAAATTGGTGTAGCAATTTATTGATTGATGGTTAACCATCAACCATCCACAGATCCTATAATCCTAAAGTTGGTTGATGGTTAAGTTATTGATGGACTGATGTCACTCTCAACAAATTCAGGTGGATAGAAGATAAAGTTGGTGGAGAATCAGTTGCTGGACTGAACTTACTTTCAATAAATGCGATAAAGATGAATAGATGGGTGGATCGGTAGCATCATAAGGGCTATGGAAAGACCTTTGATACACCTTGACAAGTTTAGTTTAAAGGAATCACACACAATGAAATAAAATTCTAAAGATATCAAGATATCACATATTAATATACAAAATCTCTCTAATTTTTACTTAATTCTTAAATTGTTTTTATTCATAAAATAAGCTTCATAATATAGAAAAATACATAAAAACGTTTTCAAAAGTAGCCTAACATGCATCACACCTTGGGAATTGAAATTCAAACTCTTAACTGCATGTAAGAGAGAGAAACCCACTTAAATAAATGCTATCTTAATTGTGGCCTTAAATATTCCAATTAAAATCCATTTTTCTTAAATCCAAACCCATAAAGTTTCAAACTATGAGTAGATGTTTTGCTTATACATTCAGATTTGATGACTTCATCAAACATCAATCCATAACAAGTACCATACTGTCCATACATGTATATTAGGTAAACTGACTATTGACCAACACGTGCGATATAACTATTGCCATAAAACCTATTTTTTAAAATTTGATAACTAAACTAGTTAGTAATATAGAATTAAATTTTTATATATAATTAATTTTCGCTATTAGGTAAATTTACTATTAACAAACCTATGCAATATAAGTTATAACTGTTACCATAAAACTCTTGTTTTACAATTTGACGGCATACTATTAATTATTATAGTAAACTAATTATATATAGAATTCAAATTTTATATATAGTCATTTTTTAATAGACAACCGCCTCTTGTTTATTTAATACATACACGTGCGATATAACTATTGTCATAGAATTAATCACTTTTTTCTTTTATATAATTGACGACATAATATAATACTTATTTCAAATAAGTTATTGAAGCTCAAGAAACAAAATACATATTAGTTTTTACTTTTATAAATTAAAAAAAAAAAAACCGTTTACAAATATAATTTCAATTTGAGAAACAGTCATTTTCAACTAAACCACGACTACTAGCTTCTTCTTTTTTACATCTCATTCTCACCCCTACTTCATATTTATCTTTGTTTTTTTTTGTTAAATCCAATCTTTATCATTTACATTTTTCAATAGAAAATTTCAGAAAAAAGACCAGAATAAATAATAAAATATTGACCCAAAACAATTAAAGAAAATAAAACAATTAGTTACCATTCTGTCACGATCTTATCGAAACTGTGAGATTTTTTTTCATTTTTAGATATTTTCTTTTTAATTCGTTTTGAAAATTTTAATTTTAAAGACGCTCTCTTTTCTTCTTCCCCAAAATATTTCAAAACCCGCCTCTTCATTTTTCTCCTTCCTCTACTTATTTACGTCTTTCCCCAATTTTCTCACAAATCTCAAAAACACCATTTTCTCTCACTCGTTTCAACAATGGCGCCTGAAGTTCAGTTTCCTTGCGACGGAGACGGTGTATGTATGCGGTGCCAGGGGAAACCTCCGGCAGAAGAGACTCTCACGTGTGGCACGTGCGTCACGCCTTGGCACGTGTCGTGTCTCCTTCCAGAATCACTCTCTTCTTCCACTGGAGAGTGGCAGTGTCCCGATTGCTCTGGCGATGTCGTTCCCTCCGCCGTTCCGGTTACCGGAAACGCTAACGCTGGACTTGAAACATCCGGTTCAGTTCTCGTAGCAGCGATCCGTGCGATTCAGGCTGATGTGAATTTGACGGAAGCTGAGAAAGCCAAAAGGAGGCAGAAACTGATGAGTGGTGGTGGTGACGATCGTCTCGATGAAGAAGACAAAAAGAAGTTAGAGATCTTTTGTTCTATTTGCATTCAATTGCCAGAAAGACCTATCACGGTTCGTTCGTTTTCATCGATTCTTCAAATCAATAGATTATGTGCTTGTGATTTGTGTTAATGCCTCGTTAAATCTTGTGATTAGTGTTAATAACAGTACTAGAATCGCTAATTTATGCTTGTGGTTTGTGTTTATGACTTGTTGGATCTTGTGATTAGTACACATAACAGTAGTAGAATTGCTAATTTATGTGTTTGTTGTTGATAAGGATGATTATATGCTTGTGATTTGTGGTAATGACTCGCTAAATCTTGTGGTTATTGATTAGTGTTAATAACAGTAGTAGAATCGCTAATTTATGTGTTTGTTGTGGATAAGGATGATTAGTATTACACTAATGGCTTATTTGCAATCAGTCTTACGCTTGTGATTGTGTTAATGCCTTGTTGAATCTTGTTATTAGTACACAGAACAGTAGAAGATTTGTTAGTTTATTTGTGTTCTTGATAATGATGATGAGCGTATTTAAGTAGCATACTAAGTGTATATAAGTAGCAGACTAATGGTTGTACTTGTGTTTGTAGACACCGTGTGGGCACAACTTCTGCTTGAGATGTTTCGAGAAATGGGTAGGTCAAGGGAAGCTAACTTGTATGACATGCCGAACCAAAATTCCGAAAAATGTTGCGCGAAATCCTCGCATCAACTTAGCTCTAGTCTCTGCTATTCGTTTAGCAAGTGTTACCAAATGTTCTGTTGATGCAACTGCGGCCAAGGTTCATCATATTATCCGCAACCAAGACCGTCCTGAGAAAGCCTTTACTACCGAGCGGGCTAAAAAGACTGGGAAAGCTAATGCTGCTAGCGGAAGGATTTATGTCACAGTACCTGGTGATCATTTTGGTCCCATACCAGCTGAAAATGATCCCACTAGGAATCAAGGTGTTTTGGTTGGAGAATCTTGGGAGGACAGGCAAGAATGTAGGCAGTGGGGAGCTCATTTCCCGCATGTTGCTGGCATTTCCGGGCAATCAGCGGTTGGAGCTCAGTCTGTGGCGCTCTCTGGAGGTTATGATGATGATGAGGATCATGGTGAATGGTTTCTCTACACAGGAAGGTTTGATTTTTATATTACTCCTATAACACTTTGATGCCTGTATATTTGTAGCTTGTGTCTTTTCTTATAGAAGTAATGTGTGAATGTGTGTTGCAGTGGTGGAAGGGATCTCGGAGGAAACAAAAGAACTAACAAGATACAGTCTTCTGACCAGTCGTTTGCAAAAATGAATGAAGCTCTAAGACTTAGTTGCAAAATGGGCTATCCTGTCCGAGTTGTCAGGTTAGCTTTTCTCCAGACTCTCAACTTTATGTGAATGGGATGCTTTCTTTATTGAATAAGAATAGATTATCTTTGGTCATCGATATACTCTGAGCAGAAAGTTATCCTGACTCTTTAGGTCTCACAAGGAGAAGCGTTCTGCATATGCCCCTAAGGAAGGAGTGAGATACGATGGGGTCTACCGAATCGAGAAGTGCTGGAGCAACGTTGGAATACAGGTTGAATATATAGCTAACATTCCTATATTGTTCTTTCTATGCAGAGCTGGATTGTTTTATTCCTGAAGTACACTCTTCTGTTTTCTGTAGGGTTCTTATAAGGTCTGTCGTTACCTGTTTGTTAGATGTGACAATGAGCCAGCTCCATGGACCAGGTTTGATCTTCTTCTTTTTTTTTCCGGAAAGGTGCCTTATTTCTGTATTTGCTAATTGATGGCTCATGAGATTTTGAATTATATACTGCAGTGATGAGCATGGCGATCGTCCAAGACCTTTGCCTAATATTCCAGAGCTTAAGAAAGCTACTGACCTGTTTGTGAGAATGGAGAGTCCATCATGGGATTTCGATGTTAGTACACCCTGTCTTTTGTTTGAGCATTCTTCGGCTGGTTCATGATTTGTGACCTTTTTCCCTGTGCCTGCGGATACATTTTCCTTGATTAGGAAGCTGAGGGTCGTTGGAAATGGATGAAGTCTCCACCTGTTAGCAGAAAGGCTGTTGCTGCTTTGGATCCTGAGGAGAGGAAGATCATTAGGAAAGCAAAAAACGGAAATAACAGACTTCTCAAAGGTAAACATCGATTACCACTTGTGTTATTATTGTATCTAGCACAATACATAACTGTGATTTGGGTAATATTTGACACAGAATTCGGCTGCCAAATCTGTCGGAAAGTGCTGAGTTTTCCAGTGACGACCCCTTGTGCTCACAACTTCTGCAAAGCATGCCTGGAAGCTAAATTTGCTGGGGTCTCTCAAGTGAGAGAGAGAAGCAGAGGCGGGCGCACACTACGTGCAAAGAAGAACATAATGACCTGTCCGTGCTGCACTACCGACCTCTCCGACTTTCTTCAAAACCCGCAGGTAAAAAACAAAAACCACTCTCCTTAAATTCTAGTTTTTACCAATTTTGTTGTAATAACTTTGGCTAACATGAATCAATGCTTCATAAACTAGGTGAATAGAGAAATGATGGAAGTTATCGAAAATCTGAAGAAGAAAGAGGAAGAGGCTGAATCAAGCAAAGACACTGCAGAGTCTTCTGGAGGAAACAACACCGAGTCTGAAGAAGAAGAAACTCAGACTGTGTCTGAAGTTGAACCACCAACGAAGAGGATCAAATTGGTTGATACAGTTGCAGCAGCAGCCACTGACTGTGTTGGAAAGTAAACAGAAGACTTCTTTTAAGAGATAAAGAGTATAATAACTCTCTCAAGCTGAAGGACTTTTTAGTCTTTTTGTAATATTCCGTAAACGATTGTGGTATGCTTTGAACTTATTGTTTTGGTTTTTATTCTAAAACTTATTTCAAATTTCTCGTATCTTTTTTTTTTTTTATCATAAGATATAATTTGAAGTTAATCCGTGATTTTATTTTTTTTGGTTTCTTAGTAGTTTCGAAATATATTTTAGTGTACTTGTATAGTACTAATTTAGACTATTTAGCATCTGATATAATTAACCCAACATGAAGTTGAGATCTGAAAAATGAGCAAAAATATCGACTCATATATTTTATAGGGAGAATAATTAGAATGACTTATATGTGAGAATTAATAACTAGAATAACTCATATATTTTAATAATAACTAGAGTGTGGGAATTAATAACTAGAATAGCCCAAAATACTCTTATAAAGCTTTGTACAAAAAATCATAATAATAAAAATGTCATTAAAAAAATGTCATCGACACAAAAGTTGCCGTTATTTACACAAAAAACTATTATTATTTACATTTTGCCACTAATC